GGGGGGGTGCTTTTGCGACTCTCGTTGTGACGTAACGCTTGCCTTCAAATACTTTTGCGGGTGCACAGTAATCCTCGGTCGGCGAAAGAGAAATAAACCCCGACTCAATTCGAAGTCCAATGTCAGAGGCGTGCCCTATGGTTGGGGTACTTGTGGGTGAGCCAGTCTGCTGTTGTGCTGCACGGCTCTCCTGCGCTGTCGTGTGCCGTGCCAGTTGTGCTCGGGGCGGCGCACGGAGGCCGTGGAGGCCGTGATGAACGCTGATAACGACGGGGAGGCTGTGCTGGGGTGAGAAGAAGTTACGATCGGGAGTTTTTGGTGCGTTCAGGTTCAGGGGGTGGCGTGGAGTGCTGCCGGCGGATTTGTTGTCTAGTCGCAGCCGTGCAGTAAAGTCCGGGCCTCGCGGACCTGCCCGCCCCCCCGGGGGCGCCCGCTGGGGGATCCACCTGGGGCGCCAGCGGCCAGCCCCTGGGAGCGCTCAGGACAGAGGTTCGCAAAATGTCCAAGAAAAGCGGTTTCGCGAAGGGGAAAGACGGTTTTCTTCTTAGAGGGGGCTCTGAAAACAAGTTGAGTGAGACGAGGCCCGCCGCCCTGCTGGCTTGAGCTCCGACTCGTTGTCGTTTGGCTTGCTGCTGGCTGGGCGCCCCCCTCTGCCCTGATGTCCTCCCACTCCCACCGCCGCCCCTCATTTGTATACGGGGCGGCCGGCGTTCTGTTTGCCGGTATAAATTCCTCATCGGGCCTCGTTACTCCATGTTTACAAATCGGACGCGGGGCCGCGCCGCCACGGCCGGGAGGGAGGCAGCTAGAAATCGAAACGCTTATCAAGTGAAAAAAAGTCTTTATGCTATCCTGCCTTGCCACACCGGAGACCTTGGCCTGCTGGTCGAGGCTACAGAGGCGCTGCTCTTTGCATTCTCCCATCTGCGCCTAGACCTCCTCGAGCTGCACTCTGTCACAGCGGCTGCACAGCACCTCGGCCTCAGTGATCAGCACACGCCGCACGTCAGCGCGCGCCTGGACGCAGCTGTCTAGTGGGACAAATGTTCTATCCAATCCCATATATATTATATGACTCCTGTCCAGTACCAGCTTCCTCAGCGCTCGCAGCTCACACCTCTCCAGAAGTGAGGGCAGGTCGCGGTAGCTCCTGTCTCGCACGATCTGCAGCACCAGCTCCTCCAGTGAGAAGCTGTGAGCCTGCAGCAGAGACTTTATCGTGGCGTGGGGAAGGCTGTCCACGTCCACACTGAGCCACTGCAGGCCGCCGTGACACGGTGGGAGTGCGGGAAGCACAAGGGGCTCCCCTTCCAGGCCAGAATCATCACCATCACCCGTCAGGTGCAGCCTCCTCAGTCGCGGCATGGCGTGCACCGTCTGCAGGTGGACCCGGCTGCATCTGTACACTCCTAGCCGCTCAACGGTAGGCGCGGCGCGCTGCAGCAACTGGAGGCACCAGGCGTGGTCAATGTGGCAGTGCACACCGACCAGGCGTTCCACCTGCAGGAGAGCACAGCGGCACCTGACCTTTTCCGTCCAAGCACAAGATACGATTTCATGTAACGGCAATACATTCCGCACTCACCCCCAGAGCTCCGTCCAGGGCAGCAGACTTCGCTTGCTGCATGCCCAACCCCACGTCCAGCACCCGCAGCGAGGACTCTGTCACGGTGGGTACTGCAGTAGGCCGCCGCGCCGCAGCTCGGTCCTGTGCCTGCACAGACTCCTTTGGTATTACAACGGCGACCCTCTCGGACAAGGGGTCTACCTTGCTCAGACCAGCTTTCGCAGCCACCACGAGCCACAGCGCCTTGACGACGGGGTCCTTGGTGTTTCTGACGGTCCCCGAGAACACGTGGTCCCCGCTCGTCAGGGTCAGGTCCCAGGCATCCTCAGTAAGCAGGGTCAGTGCCTGGACAGCTTCCCGTTCCTGACACTGGCCATGGAGTCCCTGGATATGACCAGCGACCTGCGGCAGCACGTCCGTTAGGTGGTGCTTTAGAGCTCTCTTGACGGACAGAACGTCGTGCTCGTCCCAGCACTGGCGGATGGCAGCGGCGCGGCAGTCCGAGCACCAGCCAAGGGGAGCCCTGTCGCGGAGCACGAGAAGATAACTCTGCAAATCTTATACTGTACAAATGTGAACAAGGTTTTCTTTAAACAAAGTGTACATGGTGTGCTTATGAACACATTATAAATGTGTGCATATTCATTTATTTATACCTTTGAATAGTTGACAGAGCAGTTTGAACTTCAAGACTGTCTAGTATCTTTGTTTAAACTGACATCTTTTTCTACATTTAGATTTGCAGATGAGGTACTAACCTGGCGTCAGCGCGTTGGTCGATTAGCCGCAAGAGATCGAAGTTGTTCGGGAGGGATGTGGGAGACACATTAAAAATCTGAAAGTAATTTACGCTTTATGTATTGCAATTTTCATAAATTGTTGTTGAGTAACAGTTTAGAAAGTGTGGGTGGGTGGGTACCACACCCAATCACGTGTGCTTTTCACTCTGGGTATAAATAGGTTGTGAACGTCTTTTGTTTCTTCGTGAAAATTGAGGCAACGATACTTGGACTGGCTACCAGTCAACAGTAACGGCCCCGCACTCACCGCGCGACACGTCGGGCACCTCTGCCTGCGGCTGCCCTGTGCACACCCCTGCAGGCACTGCAGACACACGGTGTGCCCGCACGGCAAAATCTTGGGAGCCCGCTGCTCCTGGTCGTAGTCCTCCATGCAGATGGTGCAGTCCATGGCCGGGCTGCTGTCGGTAGTTAGTTGTGGTCAGCGGCAAATGTCTTGAAGTAATGAGCCTCGTCCGTCCGCCGCTGCCCTACTGACTTAGCACAGACCTGCGCGATAGCGACTGATAGCCAGAGATTAGACAGACAACAACAGGAACACCTCGGCACGAATAATACGTATCAAACACACACTCTCACGCGCGCGCGCGCCTTTGCACTTCGCTATAACACTGAAACACTGCGAAACATTTTTGGAAGGTATACAGGAAAATTTTGCAAATGATTACTAGCTTAAAAATCGTAAGATTTAACATTACAAATACGAATTCTAAAATAATACAAATTATTTCACACTGTTAATAATAATTATTTTTCTTCAGAGATCAAATAGTGCAATAAGGACTGCGTTTGTAAATTTACGAGCACAAACTTACGACCATCGTTCGTAAATGAATGCACTTAACTCAGCAGTATCAATCAACTCTTCTTGTCCGGCAGCACTAAAAGTCCGAGTACAAGTCTTACAAACAAGGTCTTCTTCCGGGTGGGAGAAGAGACGGGAAGAAAAGGTGGGGAGGCATTATTTTCCGAGGCGCGGTCGGCCCCTTATCAGTTCACCACCTGTTTTAATGCAAGAAAGTTTTGATCGCGGAGCGGAAGGGGAGAGCGAGTGAGGAGGGGAGAGAAAGAGGGGAGGTCCTACTGGGGCACGCGAAAATTACGCCAAATTCAGTTATCCCGCTCCTGACTGGGCTCGGCGGCCAGACGCAGCCTGCGCGCTTGTTCGCTGTAAAACATACGGCCTCCTCTCAAAGAAAGAAGCCTAAAGTTTGCCTACGCCAAAAATATGTCGTTCAAAGCGGATTACCAAGTAGAGCGACCTCGGCGTTAAGAGTTGCAAAAGATCGGTTGTGTCGAGGTATGTGGGAGGAGCTCGGGGGCATCGCATATAGCCATCAAGCTCTCCGTTTGGTCCTCGCAGAGAGGGGCTTTCCTCGCTCGTTGCGTCTCAAGGACTGTGGGCTATAACGCTGACGCCCCTCTCCCCGCCCGCTCCCGCCCGCTCCCGCCGGCTCCCGCGGGGGCGCTCGCACTGCCCACAGCCACGATTTTCATCAACTTTTCCGGCGTGATATCTAAATGCGCGGCCGCGCCCGGCCGGCTGCCCACCCGCCGCGGCGCGATGTCTTGCAACTTGTAGTTCTGTCCTTCCGGTCACCCCCCTCCCCCCCTAACCCTCTGCTCGGTGCCGCGGATGTACACAGGGCCAGCCAGCGGCGGCAGCGCCCCGTGGGGACGGCGGGGAGGGAGGGAGGGGAGGGCGCCGGCATCACTTACAGCGAGCGGGGGACCCGCCTCGAGGCTTTTCCGGCTCGAGCGCCACTGGAGCTTGGCGGCGTCGCCGGGCGCCATGCGGCGGGGCTGCCACTGGGCCGAAGGGCGGCCCCGCCCCGCCCGGCGTCAAGGATACGGCACGGCGCGGCCCGGCGCGGCCTGGCGCGGGGCGACCGTCTCGCCCTCGTGGAGAACAAAACACTCAGCGTTATTACTCCCAATATCGCGCGCGTTCCTGCAGCATTCTATGACGAATGCGTCGTCCCCCCTTTTTTCTGTCTCTTCTTCCTTAGTTCTCTTTCTTCATCATTTCTTCTTTTTTTCATCTTCTCCACGTTTTTTT